AAATGGGCAAAAGTCAGGATGATCTCAGATTTTTCTCTTGCAACTCTAAATACCAGAAGACAATGGAACAATATCTACAGAGTTTTAAGGGAAAATAATTTTGAACCAAGAATTATATACCTTGCCAAGTTATCATTTCTGTACAAAGGCAACTGGAAAACATTCTCAAATATGCAGGGGTTAAGAAAGTATGTCAACCAAGAACCTTCCCTGAAAAATTTGCTGAATGATTTAATGCCACAAACAGAGAACATGAACTAAAGTAACTCAAGAGCAGGGAGGCAATTGTCTGAAAGAATTAATGTTGTTTTTCAGTCAGCCTGGAGTTGTAAACGTGCCATGAGACACATGCTATCAAGACCCTGAGAAATCAAAGAAGACAGACATCAATAAAGCTAGGCTGATTCCGCCCCAAAGCACATCAAAATGCAGCGGACCCTAAGATAACATCAAAGATGGGAACAAAAACGAGATGAGATCTTGCAGCTGGCTCTTTGCATGGAGCCCCCACAGCTTTTCACTCCCCACATTCCATTCTCTCAACCCCTGTCTTTAGAAACCCCTCAGTAAATCTGAGTCTTTGAGATGATTTTAATCTGGCCATTCTCCTTCAGGTTTACTGGAGAGATGGGCTAGCCTAATATCTCTCCTCAGGTCACTGGTATTCCTGAATAAAAGCTGACTTCATATTCCACCAAATAATAAGATTAATAAATAATAATAATAATAAGATACCTGTTGTGCTGCTTTTCTCATGAATCAATTTCATCCTAATTTTGTCATGATAATTTTATATTCTTTTTTCTTTAAAAAGTCTCCCAAACTGGAGACTTTTAGCTTCAAGCCCCACAAAAACCTCAATCTATTCTTGCTGTAGGTGAATTTGCAATCTATTTTTTCATATTTCTAAATGATACCCACAGATCATGCAATTCAAAGAAACATGATGGAAAACATGAAAGATTTTAAAAGGAGATTTGAAGAAGCTATGTCCAAAATGAGAAATCCGGAGGTCTAGATTTCCAGAGGCACCACATTTCCAGAAACTGATACTAGTGCAAAAGAAGTCTGCAGCAGCCAATTCTCTAGTATGAGTAGGTGAAGGTAGGAGGTGGCAAGTTACCTGGTCATGGGAGCAGCTGATCTATAGTGCCTTTTGGAGGATAATCCCTGCTACCAATTAAGGCATTTGATCAGATGGTATTTTGTAACTGATGAGATCTTTAATTCCCATGTTATTCCAGGACTGACCCTGCTCATCCCAAATTTGGACTAGGGTTAAAAATATGAAAAAGATTATGTCTGTACTAGATACATCAATCATCTTCTTTCTACTTACATCCCATTCTAAGAGACTCTGCCCTCTACCCACAGCCCCAGTGGTATGTTTGTCTCAGGTAAACCTACCATCCAGGCCACAACTGATTGAACCAGAGGTAGACAACTGACTCAGGATGAGCCAATTAGATATTGTCTTTCAAGAATCTGAACCAATATACAGAGAACAAGGCTGTTCCTATTGCATATTTCTGAGGTGTGAGTGCATTGGGACAAACATAATGCCATGGCAAACCAAAGCCTCAGGTAAGTGAGAATTATGGGGGAAAAAACCTCAAAAGCCTTGGACAAATAAGAAAGGATGAGATAGAGGAAACAGAACAAATGGACATACCGAGAAAAGCAGAGATTAGAGATCATCTGATCCCAGAAAGGGTAGCTGTTGGATGACTACCTGAAATTAGATTCCCTGACATGCCTCTGAATCCCTTCAATAAACATCCATCCTGTCTACAGCCACAGAGCCGAGCTGAGGAAGTGCTGGTTCCCATCAGCAGAGATCCCTAATGAAGACAATGGCATACTTATCAGCCACAGGCTTTAGTTAAGGAAGGAGGCACACATCCTGTGGAATGTGCTCAGGACTGCAGGACTTCCTGTGGAATGCAAGTAGCATGCTGACGCTCAGACTGGAGCATCAATGGAACAGGAGGTTGAGGGTCAACAAGGCATGCAGCTAGGGTGATGAGGCCCCCAAAGAGGAGACCCCTATTTACCAGGAGTAAAGTGAAGGGCACTCAAAAATATTGAGATTTTAGCTAAGTGGGAAAAGGATACATTCAGTTTTCTAGTCTTACTAGTATTAGTTATATCTTTAATATGTTATGGTGTTAATGTACATTCAAGATATGGTGATCAAAACGTCAAAACCTGGCTGCTTGTGACAGTCAGTGCAGAAGTTATACTTTTTGCAATTACAATCAGCATAACACTGCATGGTGGACTGAGATCAGATCAAAAAGGCTACCTCCATTCCCCTGCTTTGAATAGTAATAGAAATTTCAAGGGAACTAGGATGGAAGGAACTACTACACAAGCCAAAGCACCAACTGCTAGTTACTGCTTTTTAAAAAACTATTTTTAAGAGATCTGGGTAAGGGCTGGCCCGGTGGCGCACTGGAGAGTACGCCGCTTGGGAGCACGGCGGCGCTCCTGCTGAGGGTTTGGATCCCATGTGGAGACCAGTTCCCGCTCACTGGCTGAGCACACTACCTCCATTCCCCTGCTTTAAATAGTAATAGAAATTTCAAGGGAACTAGGATGGAAGGAACTACTACACAAGCCAAAGCACCAACTGCTAGTTACTGCTTTTTAAAAAATTATTTTTAAGAGATCTGGGTAAGGGCTAGCCCGGTGGCGCACTGGAGAGTACGCCGCTTGGGAGCACGGTGGCGCTCCCGCTGAGGGTTTGGATCCCATGTGGAGACCAGTTCCCGCTCACTGGCTGAGCACGGTGCGGGCGCAACACCGAGGGTTGCGATCCCGTTGCAGGTCCCCGGTATGGGTGCGACACCGAGGGTTGCGATCCCGTTACCGATCAGTAAAAAAAAAAGACAAAAAGGAAAAAAAAAAGAGATCTGGGTAATATTATTATGTGGTAGAGTTTGCTAATTGTCCTCTCAATATCCTTTACCTTTTTTATACTATTAATAAAGCTGGATCCAAACGCATCTCAAGACTGCATAGTAAATGGAATGTAAGGAGAAGTGATGTATGCACCCTCTGGGTCAGGTGTTTCATTTACTGTTTTAAAGTGGGCTGAAATGAGGATGTGACGGTTGAGCCATTTTCAGACACAAAAATACAGCAAACTCTCTAAGGATGGGAAAAAAATAAGATGGAAGGAGCTGGATTCTCTATATTACAGAGCCATCATCTGGGGATCTTTGTATTTTTAAGTTTCTTGTTTTAACAACCTAGCCAGTATCCTAATTAATCCCTCAGGCCCCCAGGCCAGCAGAATGCAGAACTTTCAAATCTTTCTCTCCACATAAATTGGAGCCTGACCTGACTATAAGAGAAGAGCACAGAATATGTTTAGAGAGATGATTGGTATAGCACCGCATAGTGATATACCTGAAATCTAATTTCAGGTAGTCCACATTGATCAGGAGCAATAAACAGAGTCCTGGGAGGTCAGATAGATCCACTAGATCTTAACAGGATCATAGAATAGAAGAGAGAGTACTTAATACTTAGGAAAGTACAAAAGCAAATTGTGCAATTGTTAGGTTCAATGAAAGGGGAAATAAGGAGGATAAATGCACAAAAGAATTGACAGGAGACAGAGTTTCCTAGCGATGATGGCATTTTGATTTTTTCCCTTGGGGAAGAAATAATTTGGGGGTCTCAAAAAATGTAAAACCTAGTAAAACCTAAAGGCTAAGATCCTAGTTTGTCTTAGTTTGGGCAGCTGTAACAAAATTACCGTAGAGTGAGTAGCTTAAACAATAAATATTTATTTCTCATGTTTTTGGAAGCTGGGAAGTAGAAGATCAAGGCACGAGCTGATCTGATGTCTGGTAAGGGTCTCTTCCTGGCTTGTAGACAGCTGCCTTCTTCCTATATCCTCAAGTAACTGAGAGAGAGATCATCACTCTCATAACTCTTCTTATAAAGGCATTGATCCCATGCACGCAGGTTCCACCCTCTTGGCCTTATTACCTCCCAAAGGCCCCACCTCCAAATACCATCTCATTGGGGATTAGGCTTCAACATATGAATTTTAGGAAGACACAAACATCCAGGCCATGGCATAGCTACTAGTAAAGCAGTAGGAAGCCTTTGATTCTACTTATGTCAGAAAAATTTCACCCCAGACCACTGGATAATGGTACACCAGTCTATGAGTTCAGGAGCATTTGTGTCCTTTCCATTTGGTCTAGTTAAACCCTGAAAACATTAAGCACAAGCCAAATTCAACATTGGAATAGATCAAAAATGTCCTCTGAATTAAGCTCTCTATGATTTCATTCCAGATGTATACAGAAATTTCTACAATGTTACACAAAACATTTTCGTAGTTGTTCCCAGTCTTCCCTTAAAATTATGATCACTGCATATTTTCCAGTAGGCATGTTTGTGTTTGTAACATTATCTCCTGGTTGCATGGTCAGCTTGATGTTTTAATTCAGCCCAAGGGCTTACACACAGTTGATGCTCAATATGTGAATATTTGTTTACTGAATCAGGTAAGGTCACACAACTCCAGCTTTTACTAGTAAATATGGCTTGCAAAATCAACTGATACTAGCATCAGTCTGAAACACACACTGTACCGTGTTGTGTTTAAATGAAAAAATGCCTTGGAGAAGACTTTATTGAATTCCAGGTATTAAAGAAATTGAAAGTTATTTAAATTTCACTTTTAAAAATGCCTAATCTAGGCTGGCCGGTTAGCTCAGTTGGTTAGAGTGTGGTGCTAACACCGAAGTCCAGGGTTTGATCCCTATACTGGCCAGCTGCCAAACAAACAAAAGCCTAACCTTGGAAGAAAAAGACATGGGGACTCTACTGAATGTGTATAATTTCATCAATTTATTGGCAAATATAACATGGAATGATGTTGCTCTGGCCAGGATATTTCACCCCAGAAAATAATTCCTCTCTGCTGCCTCTCTGTAGGTCCTACTTAGAAAAGAAGCTTGAGAAAAAAGCAGCTGAATGTTTGAATAGCATGTCATAAAAACCCAGTTAACTCTGAAGAAAACAATTGGTGGATCTAACTAAACAAAAAATATTTCTGATAAGAAAAATGAAACTTAGAAATCTGAACAATAAAGACTGCTTTCAAATATAATCTTCACGTACAAAGCCTTTTCTTACCTCTTTCTTAACTAACCTTATTAGATGAAGAATCTTTTTATCATTTACCAAATAGAATTTTATATTTCTACTTTGTTGACAGAAAGCGAATTTCTCTCTTAAAAGTAATTACATTTAACGTGGGGGCTTTGTTTACTTATGCACTCTAGAAAGTAGAGCAAATTTGAAGTGGGCCAGCAGAGGCTCTAATGGGCCTTGAGAGAGACAGGAGAGAGAGAGAGAGAGACAAGGCTGACCCCTAATTTCTTTGGGGTGACCCGAGGGGGCAGGGAACTCACTCTAAATAGTTTCAAGTAAAAGTGTCCAGGCACTTATGGGGTTGATTAAGGCAGTGTCACATTAAATGTTACCTGACCCAGTACCATGGAAGTTGACAAGCGCACAAGAACTAAGAACCATAAAGAAATGTGTCAACATAAAACTTAGCACTGTAAAAATAGAAAGCAAGGTGACCCTGTTTAGAAATTCATTGAAAGGACTGTAACATCGGCAGAGAAAGGGTCCCACTTCACTCCCCTCCCCCTTGACCTAGAACAACACAGACATTGATCTCAAGGAACCTAATCTAGCATCAGCAACAAGGAACTGTGATGATTATTAAGTACAAACTATGAGGTACCTTGGTTAAGGCGACCTCCAATTGTCATGCCAAGGTCAGTATACATCTGAAGAGTGCCAGCAGGGCAGCTGTGCCAAAGCAACCAGGCACAGAGCAAATAGATGGGATACTTTAAATGGCTGTCAAAAGGATCAAGTTAACTCTTCTAGGACCTTCCAAGGAAAGGAGGAACTTTGAGTGCTGGGAGGATTGGAGGATTGGGGTGGCAGCACTTACACAGGTGGGGGCTCAGAGCCAGAAATGCCTGATATTTTAACACTTACCCCTGAGCTCTACTCCTCAAGTTGCTGTGGAAGTAGAGGATATATGCTGATTGCAGCAAACTTTATGAATTTTTTAATGTAGATTGGTTGACATAATACAAAAAAGGCCCTCTGCATTTGGAAATCTTTCCTAATGTTGGCCTTTAAGCTAGTTTAACTCCTAACATTAGAGATAATTTTAATATTTTGATAAAGAATCCTGGCTTTGTTGGCTTGGGAAATTATATTTTATCTTCATTCCTTTGTTTAATGTACATCAAACAGAAAAGTCAACATGTACTATTTGACATTTTCTTTTCTTTCTTTTTTTTTTTTTTGGTGGCTGGCCAGTATGGGGTGACATCATTTTTAAAAATTCAGTTTTAATTCAGTGACTAATGAGTACTTACTGAATAACTACCAGGCTTCTGAACAGTGTTAGGAATCACAGCAGTAATATATTTTAAAGGAAAAGGCAAATAGCAATATACTATACATAAATATGAAAGCGATACAAACATAACCTTGTTTTTTTCATATGGACAAGATCCAGTATCTATGACCTTAACTTTAACTTTCTACAGTAAGGAATATGGTGCATATATTATAATGTATGTCGGAGTAGCTGTCAAAGAAAGTCTGTTTCAAGTTCTATTCCACAATTCTGAGTGAAAAAAAAGCAGACGGCTTTGAAATCAATCTTTTATATATAGCACACTCCCAATAGAGGTCAGAAGGCCAAGTTTTAATAGACCTTAGAAACTGATCAGTGGCCATGATGGAGAATATCTGATATTTGGAGATGAGGGGAGATCCCATTGATTATTGCAGTTTCTGCCCCATAAAGATGGATTCCTCTCACCATACTTCTTCAGCATTATTTTTTCTTCCTTACCCAACCTTACCTTCAAGTGTTCAGAAGACATTTCAGATTCTGGAATGGAAATTACCTCATACTTTAGTGGATTTTGGAATATGTATAATTTTTTTCTTCAAAATGCAAGTAGTTATTAGTATAAGAATTAAGTCAAAATTAGCTGATCATTTTCTTTTAAAATCTGTTTTTGACACATTGTACATATTTATGGGGTACAATCTGATATTTTGACACATATATGTTGTATAAAAGTGGGTTAAGATAGTTCATGTAACAGTCACCTCATGCATTATCATTTCTTTGTGGCAAGAACATTCCAAAGCCGTTCCTCTAGCTATTATGTAATATACAAAACTTAACTGTTAACCATAGTCATCCTACTGTGCAACAGAACACCAGAACTTATTCCTCCTGTCTAACTGTAATTTCATACCTATTGGCCAACCTTTCTCCCTGTTTTCCCACTCCCCCTCCATGCCCCAGTCTCTGGTAACCACTGTTCTACTTTCTGCCTCTATAATATCAACTTTTTTTTTAGATTCCATGAGTGAGATCATGTGGTATTTGTCTTTCTGTGCCTGGCTTATTTCACTTAACATGATGTCCTCCAGTTCCATCCCTGTTGCTGCAAATGACAGGATTTCATTCTTTTTTTATAGCTGAATAGTATTGCATTCTGTATATATACTACATTTTTTTAATCCATTCATCTGTTGATGGGCATTTAGGTTGATTCCATCTCTTGGCTATTGTGAATAGTGTTGCAATGAACATGATGGAGTGATTTCATTTCCTTTGGGTAGGAGAATTTCCTTTGGAATGAATTACTTACAGAATTTATAGGATACCTCCGCTGGCAATCTTACAAGGTAAAATAACCTATTTTTCCAAGATGATTTAGGATTAATTTTATTAAAGACAGAAAGATAAATAAACTGTCAAAATCTCTTCTACATCAATGACATAATATTTGTGTTGATACGTTAGAAAATAAAAGAAGCTGGTTTTGGTAAAACTTTTATTTGTCCCTCTGTGCTACTGATGAAGCCCTTTCCTGGAGGCAATAAAGATGGAAATCATACTCGATTGAGCTTGTAGACTTATCAGTAATAGGCCATGGGGCAGGGGGTGCACAGAACAGCAGTGATGAATTAAATTTTCCTCTTCTTTAGGAAACTAGCATCTCCCTTGGATGGTTCTGATGTCTTCTTCACTCACCCACAAAATCTGCTCATCTAATAGAACTCACCAAACCATCTAGTGGTTTTGAAACTCACAAATAAGTGAGTCAAAGATGAGCTATTATGTCCATAGAACTAGCTTCCAAACCCTCTTACCTTGTTTTATGCTTTACCATGAGATCTTCAGTTCCCATTTCTTTTGCAAGTCCAGTTCTGCTTTCCTTTCTAGCTTGTTATAACTTTTGCTCTAGATTTTGCTTTCTATTCTCCAATAGTAGGATGTATCCATAGACTTATAATCTAGATCACTTTTGGGAGGCCTCATAACACTCCCCAGCCTAACCCGATTACCTGTGTCTTCTCAATAGAGACCCCGACAGGGCTGGTCCAAAACAGTAGGCTGGGACCACTGTGACTTTAAATTCTGAACCTCCAAGAAAGTGTGGCAAAATGTTAACAATGGGTGGCTCTAAGGGAAGGTATTTGGGTTTTTACTGTACTGTTCTTAAAGCACAGAAATGGAAGAAGTTGAATTTGGGGAGATTGCTTGGCCTGGGCCTCACCCTCCTGGCCCTGGAGGGCACCTGAACAGCCCACTCTGCTCTGCCCTGCCCCACCAGGGGCCGCCTTCTCTCCATATGGCACACACAGACCTCTCCTTGTTTTTAACATCCCCAAGTATTCCATTGTCTGGCTGTCCATGGCTCCCCGAACCAGCCACTATTAGAGGGCACTGAGGCAGTCACCAGTTCATGCCATTACAGAGAGAGAACCTAACAGTCACGTTTGAAAATGCAGATGGGTCAGGCCAGCCCCCCAAGCGAGTCACATCAC